TATATATATATATATAAATATAAATCGTAAGATCATAATACGCTTATTTAGCACATTATGATCTGTAAATCGAATAATCAGAAATATAAACAAACGAAACCGTATTATAATAGACTATAATAATAAAATGTGTGTAAAAAATATAAAATTTATAATATTACATTCGCAGCGGATGTGCCGGCAAAATATCAATATTCGACCCTGACACGGGTATATTGCTGCACACCAGGCTCGAGCTTACGAGAGCTGAGATCCTGAATCTAAGTTTCTCGCCAAATTACAAGTATCTTGTATCGACCGGGGAGGACAAAATCGTCCGATTATTTTCCTGGTCGGAATTGACTCCTTTTTTCAATATCAGATTCTTTAAACCTGTAAAGGTAAGCCAGTGAAACACTGTTCAATAATCTTCAATAATCTCATTATAATCTTCATCAAGTTAAAGAGATTTATTCACTCAATGTTACGGAAGTAGTATTCAGATTTCATGATCGGTACACAGTTTAACAAATGTCAAACCGTACACGAGTAACTCGAATTTTATTTCACGAATCTATAATTATTCAATATAATTAATAAGAATGTAATAATTGCGAGTGCAACACAGAAAAAAGAATTTTGCTAGAGTATCTAAAAATTTAGTTAGATATGCAGACTTGAAAATTTTAATGGACTATCAAGATTCTTATGTAGAATTCTCAAACATAATGTACAATGCTGCAGAAAGTTTTGACATTCTAACAGCCAGTTTTAGTGCTCTATAATTATTTTATAATCTAACATAATTTATTTTCAGAGCTGAATCCAGCTAAATTTTTAGACACTTCAGTAAAACCATTCTTTCCGTGCAAAAAAATGATGCTTCAAATAATTTTCTATAAATAAATTCAAAAAATCCGCCTACTTTGAATGTTGCTCGTAATTATAAATTGATATTAATTTTTATTTTTACGGTTATTTTCAACTGCCGATATCTGTTTTATACAAATCACATTTTTTTTCAATGATAAGTGGAATGTGAAAATATTCATATTCGACAGGCGGTCGCTTGGCACCCGCAAGTACCCGACTTGCTTTGTATAGGTGGAAGGAAGAACGGATCGCTATCATTATGGAATGTCAACAAGTGTGCGATGACAGCCTTTGTGCGTGCCAAATTCAATGGTCGCGTGGAAAATCTCGCTTGGAATAAGTTAAGTGGTGAGTTGGTCGTACATTGGACTTACAAAGAAGAGGACAATATATACACCATTGTCGCAGTGCTCGCCAGTTTTAATCGGATTGTCGACGTGCTGCCATTGGATAAAGAAATACGGCTTTGCTTCTTGAAGTTCAATGCCGCGCACGAGCAACTAAGTACGTAAATCCTATCTTTTTTCTTTGTTTTTTTTTTAATAATTTAGTTTATAGAAGTCCACAAGGTGATCATTTTAATAAATTGCCGTAAAAGTTTGCGTAAAAGTTTTCTAGAAGTGTTCGACTTTAAAATTTTTTAGAGGATATTATTTCCTTATTATAAAAATAAAATTGGATTCCATATGGAAAAAGACATATTTTATTATTAAAAGTAAATAATAATTTGTTTAAAAATTAAAATCGATAAAAATTTGTTGTATCGTTTTAAGATGCAATTAATAACAAAATCAAGACCAAAAAATGTGCAGACGTTATACACAAATTAAAATATTATATAAAAAATAATTAATTTATGAAATTAATTTATTGAATACTTTAATTTAGATTGAAATCTCTTTTAGTAGATAACTAATTAAATTAAAATGAAACTCTTAAAAGTCGTTTTTATATGATGTCAGGCAAAATAATAAATTTTGAACTCACAATTTATTTTTTAGAGATGATTATTTCTTAAGTGTTACTTTAATATTTTAAAAGATCTTGGAATTCTGATTTCCTTGAATAAATTGGTAAATTTTCTAAGGTTTAAATTTACCCGCAATTTTGCCATCTTGAGTCACGTAGTATTCTATTTTTGCTTATATATTGCCAGAGTTCTTTGAATATCTGTGCTATTTATCTTCTCGCCGCATGGCTCGTATATTTATTTTTGCGCCTTTGAGTTTTCTGTTTTCCATTTCTTTTAACTCGGAATGTCGTGACTTGCGACATAATTTTCAAATTTTATTAGTAACGCGATTGTTATAAATTTTCATTATTTTTCGAGTGATACAGCAATGGGCCACAATGGTAAATGCAATTTTCTTATAATTTTTCTCAATTTCTTTTTCTTTTTTTGTCTAATTGTGTGTTTTTCAAAACACGTTGCTTCTTGTCCAATTATAGCTGGACGATTTTATTCTTTGATTTATCAAGCGTTTGTACATCGAATTTGTCACAGGTTTTCTTTCTGCGTTGAAAATTTCAACATTAAACTGGTATTAAAATTTAAATTTGCTTGCTGGCTTGATAATATCATAAAAATTGAGAGAACGAAATTTTTATCTTGCTTGACTTGTTTTATAGAAGCGATTTTTAAAACTTTGGATTTAATGTTATAATTTGTTTCGCATTGGATGGATTCCAATTTTAATCAAAACTAATAACTTAATATAAATTAATTAAATATTTTGCGTACTGTTATACCTTGCGCATTGTTTCTTATCATTCTTGATTTAAACATTATGTGTATCATTATTATTAATTTTAATATTTATCAAAATTATTATTACTATTAAAAATAATATAACCTGATTATTAATCTATATCACACGATATAGACGTCAATATGAATTTATTAAAATATTATAATATCCGTTAACAATTTTCTAACGAAAATTCAAAACCTTTCTTTATTGTTGTGAGTCTATTGACTTTTCGCGTTCGATCGATTCCATCTCGATTCCATCGTAAACAAATATAGAAGCTCTTCTAAACAATGAGAGAATAAAGACGAAATGAAAATTTGTTTACGTATAGAATTCATTATAGCATATCATTTTACAATTTCTGAAATTATCTAAAATTTCGTTATTACTATTCAGTTACTAAAATTAAACTATTTTCTATTCCAAAAGTTTAATTTTTAAAATTTTTAAAAAATTGACTAATTATATCACGTATAATTACAAATAATTAAATTTTTAAAACACAAACTCGCATTTTGTGTGACGTTAAAAAGAGCGAAGAAAGATGTATGATATAGACAGATCAAAATATAAGAATATGATGTTTTTATTTTCAACGATTTTGTTTAATTTAAATTATGTATTAAAGATGTAAGGTGTAAAACAGTTTATTTAATATTGTCATTCGAAATACATAGTCTTTCAAAACATTTCTCTTTAAATGTACTCAAATTAGGTGTTTGTTACAGTAACATTTTGCAGCAGTATGAATGTCTATTCAATATGGAATTTTTTTGGCCACGAGAAATCATCTCGAAGACGATACATGTCTCACGACAATTCTACACACCAGAAACAAGGAGTTATGGTCCGTAATCCGATTCGATAATTATTTATTTATTTCAAAAAACTTTAGATGATCTCGTGATAATTCGTGATATGAATCATGAATAGAACGTTTATCATTGACATCGATACATATGATTGATAGATTCACATTGATAATTCCGTGAGTTCAAATACTATCAAATATTAACTTCATCAGCTTCCTCGAGTATAATAGACTTGCAGATATCTTTCATATTGACATTATCAATCTCAAAATATTTAGAATATATTTAGCGTCTTAAAAAGTCGCGCATAATAGCACATCTAATAGTAGTTGCTCCAGTCTGTTATCCACATATGTGTCAATCTCATTATAATTATACTTGTATCCCGTATTTGAATACCATAATATTGCTAAATCGAAATATGGAGAAGATTATAATTTTTGATTGTCATCAGTTATATTGATCCTGGGTTCGTGATTTTCAATTGATTAATTGATTGTTTAATATGAAGCTGCAGGTTTCGCAAGCAAGTTTATAATTTATCAGTTATTTTCGAATATTTACTATAATTTTAAATCGATATCTAAGGATATTTATTCTTTTGACTTTATCGCAGAGATTCTTCAAATCTTTTAAAGATTCTTCTTTCTTCCAAAATTTGTCATATGAAATTCTTATAGCAACAAGAATCACAGGAGATTTCAAGAGATCCTAAAATTTCTTAAGGAAATGAGGAGCAAACTTTCAAAAAGCGTTTTGTCCAAAATTTCATTTTTTTAGTTAGAGATGTCGGAGTATTTAGTGTGGAAAAACTCATATTATAAGCTACTGCGAGATGTTCAGAAAGCATTTTTTCATCGTTTATATGCTGAAAAAATACAGATATTTCAAAGTGCATTATGTTTTTTTAATTAAAGACAAACAAAATGCATTTGTTTGTTGTTTTAACATTTTTAGCAATTTTGTTTAATATTTTTAAGTGTTTAACAATTTTGTTTAATATTTCATATACTGATCATTTCGTATACTGATTAATATATTATTATTTTATATAAACTGCGTAGTTTTCTTGTGTGCGTAGTTTCTTTCTTTTTCATTTTCTGAAAATTACAAATTTTGAGCAAAACGCATTTTGAAAGCCTGTTCCTCAAATATCTCTGTACTACAAATCTCTTGTATATCTTATTTATCGAATGATTCTGATAACTGAACTCAACGAAATCACCTTTTCCTCTGTGTGATGTACTAACGAATTTTAATGAGTTGACATATTTCGTGGCATCATTATGTTTATGTATAAATTTTACCAAATTTTATAACAAATGTTTGTAATGCTAATACTTCATAATCTAAAAATATTAATTTTTAAATATATATTGAGAAAATTATTTTTTTAAATATAATTCTTCTTTTAAATATAAATATAAATTTTTATTTTTTGCTTACACACACAAAGAGATATTGGTTCAGAATTAGAGAAAACATTAAATGATGTATCGGTATTACACTGGCGAAATAGCATATCAAAATGTATGTATATTAGTGAAAATTTATGTGGCGTCACATCAGATACGGTAGGCGCAAAATTATAAACAAGTATCGTAGGTCGTAAAAGACTTATTCTTAAGTGATCATCACTATCGCAATTAACGCGATGCATAGCGCAGATAATTGCAATTCGCAAATCTAATGGCGCTAAGAAGCCATTCAAAAGCGTTAATTTAGCGACGGTCGTAAAATTGTAATTTCGCACCGCGCTGTGAACAGTCGACTTATCTTGCAATAGATCGGCAACAGCCCGTTGTAGGAAGATTCACGATGACACCTGATACGTCGCTTGGAAAAAACTATGCTTAGATAGCCCAATCACTTTTTCAAATTCCATCAAAATCATTACGTTCAATGAAACGTACAATGATTTAGTCCATAATTAAGTAAAAATTGAAGGAAAGGAACAACGAATATGAATATTGAATATTTTATAGTATTATATAATGTTATATCGTACTTGTAATATTTTTATCATGGTGTTTTGATTTTATTTCATGCAAGTATCAGATTGTCTTAACAATGCAAGTATCAGATTGTCTTAACAAAATCTATGATTTCCTGCGTGAAAAACTTCCGCCAAAAATAACGAATAGATTTATATTAATTATTAACATAATTAAAAATTATGGAAATTGAAAAAGCTTTTGGGTATCAATCTTTCGACGCGACAGATTTTATTTAAAGTTTCTTTAATCTCATCTTCTTATCGTAATTTTTGCTGTTGCTTTTTAATATCAATTTTTTTTATTTCACTTAGCCACACAATAAGCAATTATCTTGTTGTTTGTATTATGTTGTAATCTGTTTAAGAAATATACTTTATTCTGATTGATTTCGTCAAAGGCAACAGCATATCATTGAAATTTATTAAATTATAGTTAATTAATTAATTGAATTTGCATTGCGAATAACTTGATTCGTTTTCAGAATCTTATAAAAATTTTCCGGTTAGGTATACAGAATTTTAGATACTATTGTATTCAATTCGATGCTCAATCGTATAATTAAATCTTAGGTATTCCTTAGATATGTTATTATTAAATTTATTGTAAAAACATGGTTTTTGGATATAAAACTTTTTATATATAAATAATATTATAAACAGAATACAACACAAAAAAAAATTTTCTACATATTTATACAATGTTTTAAGAAAATCAATCAATATCTTTTTAAAGTGGTTACTAGAATCGATTTTTTTTGGCGAAAAAATATCATGAAGCAATGATAATAATAATATATTATTAGGAGATATACAGGATGTCTCGCAATTACAGCATTTACTCTTAAGTACATATTGTTGAGGTAATTTTGAGACGAAAATCTTAATACGAAAATGTCGAGACTATAATAATTTTTCGAATTGAAGAGATGGGCGCAATAAAGGCACAATTTTACTGAAGCCCTTTTTTTGGCAATTAGCTTTTCCATGTAATATTGATCACAATAAAAAAGATTTATAATATGTAACTTTTTGAAGACATTACATAAAGTCATTTAATATTGTATCCATTTATGTATAATAAAAAAGTAGCAAGTAGCAATTATTTTAAATTTTATTAATATCAAGATTTTGTAATTAGGCCTTTATTTTGCCCATTCTCTCAATTAAAAGCTAACTTTAAATGCTAATAAGTCAAAAACCATTTTACTTTTATAACCTCTATTATTATTTCTGGATTCTTTTGAACATTTTAAGATGAAAATTCTAATACGAAAATATCGAGACTGCTAATAGTTTTCAAATTACACACTATCTTTAATCAATTATAATTCAAGAACAATTGTAGCCTCGACATTTTTGTATTAAGATTTTTGTTTCAAAATTACTTCAAAAATATGTTTTTAAGAGAAAATGCGGTAGTTATGAGACATCCTGTATATTATTAATGTAATATATATAGTTATTATTAATATAAATCTATATTATTACCATAT